TGGCCACATATTATTACCCCAAAAATTGATATTGTTGTCCTGGATCAACTGCTGAGTCATATTTGCTTTCATGCATGGGGCTTTATCGTGAACAAACGTCACTTCATCCACATCAATGACACGTTTTCTTCATTTTTGAGAAAAGGAAAGACGTGCTGAACCAAAATTGTATCACGAAAGTATTGACCTGTCCAGGATTCTCCTTATTATCTTTGACTACACACAGCCATTTTTTGCGGGAAAAATAATGAAAATACCGATGCATGCTTGATTTTGTACCATTTCACGATATCTTTCGTCCTCTTCAATATCTTCAATATCTTCGATAGATTTAGCCCAGATTCTGTCATTCTGGTAATTTGGATTCCAAATACTCCACCCTCAAGATTCATCAGCTGGTGCGAGGTGTAAGAAGTCTTCCTGCGTCCAGTTCTTTAACCAGTCACATAGCCACAGACGATCGGAAATATGAGTTTCTGATTTCAATGGTTTCCGAATAACATGAAAAGGCTTCAGTCCCATCCGGTGTCGGTAGTTATCAATCGTGCTTCGCGTAACATACTCTTTTTGTCTCGCTGCAATTTCCCTTGCCACAACGGAAGAACTTTTTTTCTGCTTGCCACTCGCATTGAAGATGATATTTTGACTGTCCTGCGATAATTTCAGCTTACGACCACATTCAGAATAATCAGCAAAGCATTCGTCGTATTCTTTCTCCCACCATTCAGTAACAAACCGAGTCGAACGATGGATTCTATCTGCGATCCATTGTCTAGTGATGAATGCTGCACCAGCATCACGCGCTTCACGAAAAGCGACGCACTTTATTCGGTCGACAATTCTTTGTTGTTCATTGTCATAAGTCTCAGCCATTGCACAGATGAGATATATTCAATCAGTCCCAGCTAAATTAAAAATCTATCATGATCATCATTGAAAGATACGAATAAAAGACGCGAAGTTTACTCACATTCCCAGCAAAATCACTTCGTTCAAAGAGAAATCACGGTTTCTTTATAGCTATGATGTCGTATGCGAGCAAAGAAAATGAAAAGAAGAGGATGAAAAGCAATTCGACTTGATACGATCGTGACTAACGACTATTTCTTCCTTCTTTTTATGATTAGAATGCTGTGCGCACATCCTTACGGAGGAGAACGAAAAACAATGATAAAGGAATGAAGAGAATCATTGTCTTGCACATTCAAGCAATGTGTTTGAAGTTATTAGATAAATTCCTTATCAGTTTTACGATAATGTACATTTTCTTAACGGCTGTATTACTTTTTATTGGAAAGTCGGTGAAATCATAACTGTCAAAATTCTGTAACTTATCTTAGCTCTGTATATGCCTTTCTCTATAGAACACTCAAATATATCCCTAGATGCCGTTTTTGACGGGCTTTCTTTTGGTATAAAACTCATTGTGTCTATCACTAGTCGTTAGGGCTGTACACCCCTGGAAAAACATTTTTGGCAACCGAGTAGATTGAGTGATCTAGTGAAACCTAGGTAGTGGAACTCACTTACCCACACCCTCACCTTCATTTCCTACTGTGGGTGGTCGAACTTACGATGTGAGTTTTTGGCTGTAGAACAACGGAAATGGACAGAACTTAGCTGTCTTCTCGTGGATGCCTGAAAATAACTAAGACTTTTAATATGTTGTACTTTTTTTCTTCTCATAAATCGAAATATTTCAAGTTTGATCGTATAATGCAAAAGAAAACGTAACAAGAAGTGAAATAAATCTACGTCGTGCATCAGTCTCTTGTCTTCTTGTTACGGTTGAATAATTTTGATGAAGAGTGAACGGTAAGAAACAATCAAGTTTGTTTATCTTCGAAGAAAGAAGATCTTTCAAAGGTTCGTTTCATTGGGAGAATCTTTCAGATGAGAACAAGTCAAAACGATAAAACCGTTACTTATTGTTATTGGTTTCGGATTGATTCACCTTCGGACAGCTTCATATGTCATTAAATATAAATCAAAATGCGAAAGAAATAAAATAGTTTATAGTATTTGATCAAGAAAAGCACTGTCGAATACGAAATATTGTTCGTATAAGAAAAGTTGATTGCCATTCTTGCCAATAAAATGTTGATGGATAAATGTAAAGAAGAAAAGTTATTGTTTGAGGAATAAATAAAATGAAGTAAAAAGTAATTAAAAGATAACGCAATTGATCGATTTGATTAGTTTGACAAGAGAGTGATAATGATATGATTAAAATTGGTAAAGAGAAAAGAGAAAATATTGAAGGTAAAAGTGCGATTATTGGTCGAGTAATCATTTCTTTGTTTTCATTCAATACATGACGTAAAATATTCAAATGATCTGGACTTTTCTGTTGATCTGAAAGTATGAAAGAAAACATAAACAGATGTGATTATGCCATCCGGACCTTACCTAACGTTGATTCGGTCAAACTTGATGATTGATCAGGAAGTGTTGCTTGATCTAAAAGAAATTTGCTTAAAGTCAATTGAATATCAATTAGAATCAATTTACTATGTTTAGTTTTCTGAATATTCATTTTATTGCTGATAACTCTTTCAATGATTATCATTGTCGAACAAATATTGATTAATAATGGTAAAATCGAATGAATAATCGAGATTATTTGATGAATCGATGTCCATGTGCTTTGATAAGAAACTGAAAAATCCATTGCACACATTGCTCTAGTCTCTTTTTCATTGCTACTGATAAATAATTTAACAAATACCAATTCATATGAAGAAGAGAGTAAAATAACAAATACAATCAAAAGCATCAAACAACGCGCAACATACGGCTGTTTAAACCATTGACCTTTCAAGTAGAGAATTGTATAAGCACGTTCAATGGAAACAAATGAAGTCAACCAATAAGATATTCGAAGGATACAAATAAGAAAATAGTTCAATAGTTTACAAAAGATATGATTAATCATAGAGAAAGATTTGACATTAATTATAAGTAGAGATAAATGAATGAGACGTGCCATGAGAAATACTAAAGTGATTTGATTGACGATACTCATATAGAGTAAATAATGGCCAACACCTGTTTGAAGACATGCCTTTCGTTGTAAAGTAACATAAGAAAAAAAATTATTGAATAGACCAACAAAGAATGCAAGACTTGAAAGAAGAATTATGACATTCATTGTTGTTTGTTTATGATTAGAAATTAAATCAAAATAGAATAATTGATCAAGAGTAACTGTTAATGGTTTCGAATTAAATTGACACTGAGTACCTGAATGACATGCTGGACACAAACAAAGAAAGTCATTTGAATGAATAGGATTTCCTTTCAAACAAAGTCCATTTGCCAAACAATATGAACATCGATCTAATGTTGAATCATAAAGAAAACATTCAACACGCGTATGATTTGTATTACAAATACATAAATAAGAATTATCATGGAAACAAAGTATACTGAAATTCTTGATACATATCTGATGATATTCAATTGGAGTAATAGATTTTATTGCTAATTGAGAAATACTTGGACATCGATTTTCTTCTCTTATTGATATTACTCCTTCGAAAGATGCTGTATTTATATGCAATGAAAGTAAATAGATATTCGATTGTTTATCTTCATAAGAAGAATAGATTTGAGCTAAAACAACTTCAGGAATGATTTCTTTTTCATGTCCATACTTGAGAGATAAAGGTAAAGTATTGTACACTTGTTGATGAGCAAGAATGAGACTGACGACTTGGTAATCAATAAGAAAATACTGTAGAACCATAGCAGCAGAATAAGTCAGAGTATGATTGGAAAGAAATAAATGAAGAATCGATTTCTTATATTGACAATAATTACCATAGAAATCTTCTTCACACAAACAAATAATTTGATCAAATGTTGATCTAGGGAGACAAGTACCATCATTCTGACAAGAATTTATTTGACAAAGATCATTAGATTCGATATCACATCGATCACCCGAAAGTTCAAATGGACAAACACAGTAAGGAGAATCATTACCTCGAAGATAACTTTGATAATCTGGTTTACATAAAGATTTTGATCCACAAAAACCATTTTTACAACGTAAATCTTCAATTGAACAATTCGGTCCAAAAAAATTGCTCTTACAAAGACACAGATATTTGGATTTATCATTGACCAGAGGAAAACATTGTTCATTTGGATGACATGGATTCGTCAAACAAGGATTAGATTTGGTTAATCGAAGGATTTTAGCTAAACGAAAAACAGGTAAATAATCGAAATCGATTGTATATTGCCAAACTGCAATTAATGACACTTGTTTATCACGTTGAGTGTCATAGATTTCAATACGAATTGAATAAGGATGAGAATTAAGAATATTTGAACGATTAAAATATCGTTTCATTCGTTCTTGACGAAATTTTGATGAATGAGAATAAACAAAATGAAATGATCGTTTATAACTCTTATTCACTTCAAAGATTGGTTGAACTTGAAACTGATCAATCATTAATAATTCATTTTCATAAAAGAATAAAAGAAGAACTTTGAGAAGAATATTTGGATGATTCTCAAAAGCATAAATTGATTGGGAGAGGTTAAGATGAAGAAGGAGTAAAAAACGGTCACTGTGATATTGACAAAAAATGCCATAATATTGAGGCGGACAGAAGCAAACGATGGTATTATTTGATAAGAACACTCCGAGACCACGATTACATCGGTAGGCTGACATAGCTAATGATGAATCAGATAAAGAAGAAGTAATGGGAGATTCTCTATTCATAATCAACTTTAAATTGACCTGTGTAATGTTTGGATCGGATGGAAAATGAAATAATTCTGGAGAATAAACTGCACTTTTCACATCTACTTCTCTTAATCGACGATAAGGATAAAACTCTGAAATATAATTTCTGTAATCACACATATATTCATCTTCACCAAATGAACATTCCCATTTCATATCACATCGACCTAGTGGAACATATTTTCCATCAAAACAAATAAATAACGCTCGTCAGTGGTGACTCGCATTACCCTCGACTGAAAATATCACAATATGCAATATATTATTATCAATTTGATATTTGTTTTTCTTTGTTTCAGTTAAGAAAAATACTTTCTAATATAAACTGTATTTATTTATTTCTATATGCAGTAAAGACACACTAATGATATAATGATCAGCTACACAAAGGAAAAGAAAAAACAAGTGAATATTGAANTGGTTGAGTACCTTCAACATTCATCCCTAGAATAATGATGCATATTTATTGTTTTATCAAAAAGTGATTAAATAATCGTACCAAGTATTGATCGATCGGATGTTGGCGTTTGTAATAGTTCGTGGTAGGGAGGAGATGCATATGGTATTGACAACGACCGATACGAGGTTGATGGAGATCCACCAAACATCACTGGCGATGCATATGGAATCGATGGAGATGATGGTCCTTTCACTGGCGTTGACCAAACAGTAGAAGGATTAGAATGATCTGCGTTTCGTTCAGCATTTGTAAACTCCATCGCGCGTAAAGCTGTATAAATACTATCTGTTGCTAGTTGTGGTGAATGATCGGATGCTGATGGAGCTAGAAGAAAGCAAGAAAGAATGATTCTGATAATAAAAGAAGGAAGGAGTGTTATTACTGGATGGGTCTTGAATTTTTATGTCTTTGAAGCCATCTAGGTCTTCTTTGATAATATCTTCCAAGTATGCGATAAGTCTTTCACGAAAATTTGAATCCTGCACCTTTTCCTTCATATCAGTTGGTTTGATGTTGATATCGAGCCAAATCAAGAGATGTAAATGAAGCGAACCGCGGCCTTGACTTTCAACAGTGCCAAAGTAAGCTTTTACAGGACCGAGAACACCGCCAATAATCATTGTATCTAAGATATTGGAAATCAACGTATGAAAGAATTTAGCTGTCGCAACAGGATGAGAAGCTATGATTTCGGCACGTCTGTATGTATCCATAAGTTGTTCTCTTTGAACATTGTCGAGATCAAGTTTGACGCCGGCAAAATATAATGCGACGGGACTATGAATATCAGCCGGATTGAGAGTTAAGAAAATACTTGGTAGTCCTTGATTGAAAATTAATGCATGGATATGTGTGCATAACGCTGTACGTGAATGTGCTGAGCCCATGACGCGACCACCGATTGTTTTGATATGATTTAGTAGTTTGCCTAATCCCTTGTTAGAATGCTTGTCATATGTTCTTGTAGAAATATTCTTCAGAGCTGTTTCAATATCAGCACTGCTTAATGATTGAATTTCCTGAGTAGAAGATTGAAAATAAGGCTTCGTTGCTATAAGTTGAGCATGAAG